CGAGAGAGAGAGAGAGAGTTTTTGGAAAGTGAGAAATCACCCCTCCTCCCCCAGAGCGACGGCAATGCCATAATCCCTTCTCCTCCACTCTCCTCTCAGGATTTTGGGCATGCATGCACATATGCTCAATGTGATTTTCAAGCTTCCAGGTGAGGAATTAGAACTGAAGAGTTGGCCATGTGGGATCTAGCACCTTAACCTTCATGCCACCAGCTGGCCCAGTCAAGAACAATTATTTTTCTAGAGAGAGATTTTTGCTATAGGACATGTGTGCTCTCCAGAGAGAGAGAGAGAAAGCAAGAAATCACTCCCCAGGGGAGGTGGCCACTTGACAATCCCTTCTCCTCTATTCTCCTCTTGGGATTTTGGGCATGCATGCACACATGCCTGGTGAGAGTTTTAAGATGTCAGGTCCAGGACTCGAACCACAGTCAGCCATGTGGGAGTCCAGCATTGCAACCATTATGCCATCTGCTAGTCCCAATCATGAATAATTTAAAATCACAGTTGCAACAAGCACAACAAAAAGAAGTACATGGTACTATGAAAGCCAATGACCAGAAAATCTGACCTACTTTGGAAATTCAAGGAGGTTTAACTGAGAAATTGCCACTGCTTTTGTCTAGAAAAAAGCAGAAAGCATCCTGCACTTAATTAAGTCATAGAATTCAAATACTTCCAAGCTCATAGAGTCAACTGATGTCCACCTCAGGAAACTTGGGAAAAGTACCAGTGCAAACATTCTCAGTGAGGGGCACAGTAGGTAGGAATTAACTCCTCTATAAATAAGGGGATCAGAAGTTCAGTTAAATAAATTTATTATATTATTATAAATTTATAAACAAGGTGTACTTGTTCATAATGGTAGCAACCCATGGTTATGCAGTCAAATTTTTAAAATGTTTATCTCAGAAATATTACACAACTTCTTTTTCAACAAGAAAACAAGCGTATGGATTATGCTCATGATGTGTTCTCTGCTGGAGCATAAAAGATATAAAGGAGAAGTAAGACCATGGTTGGCACTAGATATTTGTTGAATGGGTTAATAAATAACAACCAACTATAGCAAGGAAGAATCCAAAGTCTAAAACTTGGGTTCATGGACATTAATTGTACAAATATAACATAATTGTATAAATATAAATATAAGACAAGTGCCTTGTCTTAGCAAATTCTCCTGGGTAAAAATTCTAAGGATTAATTATTCACAACCTTGTGTGAGCAAAACAGTATTATGGAACTGAAGTGAAAGTTATCAAGAAAAGCACAGGATTGGCCCTGTAGTACAGTAGGTTAGTCCTGTGTGTAGGGAGCAAAATCCCACATGGCTGATCATGGTTCAAATCCCAGCCTTGTTGGCTTGAAAAGCATGCCTGGTGTGAGTGCATGCCCCAAATCCTGATGGAATGAAGAAATGGAAGAAATGGATTATGGCACGACCATACTCCAGTGGACAGGAGGGTGTGTTCTCTCTCTCTTTCTCTCTCAATGGAAAGTGTACATGGCTTCTGACAGTCAAAAAAGAAAAGCACAGCGCCAGGATCACTAGAAATAATCATCCTACTGCACTCTTCACTTGCTGGGCCAACTCCGGAAGATCTGGGCATAGTTCTGGGCATGACCTTCCAAGACGGTCACTGGTGAACACAGAAGCATCTAGAAGTCATGCTGCTGGCTCTATAAACAATATGAAATAATGAGCAGTTACAGAAACTAAAGATGGATAGCCTGGAGAAGAAGGCACCTGAGAACTGCTTCTAGTATTTGGAGACTCTGCTGTGTAAAAGAGGAACAGCTTGTAATGTCCTGTGTGCAGAGTTGCTCCCGGTTGACACCAGGGACCCCTGTTGGTTCTAGGGCTCAGACCTTTCTTACTCAATGCTTCTCACATGGGTCTGTGAAACAAACTGTAACTGAATGTTTTATATAATATATTACATACCTATATGTGTATATGTACACATGCATATACAATATGTAATAATATATACATACATAATCGCCAGTAATATTACATGTGCATATATACATATATAACATGTGTCTATACTACATGTGTGTGTGTGTATATATATATATATATATATATAAATTCATACATTATTTCTATACATATTATAGTGGTATTTAATGTCATTTAAAATATTTTTAGGGGCCAGCAGGTGGTATGGTGGCTAGGGTGTTGAACTTCCAAATAGCTGATTGTACTTCGAGTCCCAAACCTGGCACCTTGCTTTCTCACTTTCCTTCTCTCTCTATGGTCAAATTAAAAGATAATAATGGTAGGGAACCAGCAGTTAGCGTAATGGCTATGTCACTGGACTCCCACATAGTCGACCGCAGTTCGCGTCCCAGACCCAGTGGCTTAAAACTCACGCCAGGTGCGTGTGCGTGCGTGCCCAAGATCCTGAGAGGAGAATGGAGGAGAAGGGATTGCGGCGTGGCCATCCCCCCTGGGGAGTGATTTCTCGCTTTCTGTCTCTATTTCTCTCTCTTTCTGTCTGGCAAGCGCAAGTGCCCTATAGCGAAAATCTCTCCCCAAAAAAATAAAAAATAAAAAAAGATAATAATGGTAAATAAAATTAAATAAATAATTCTATAAAAATAAAATGTTTATATAGTAATATACTAAATAGCATATATATTTTATATATATTGGGTAAACAATGTTTAATCTCATTTTCCATGAAACAATATATAATTTTAAATTGTTTTGTGGCGAAATGGGATTCAATTATGAGTTCATTTTGGTGAAAAAAAAATTAAAAGTATGCAGTTTCTTCATATTATGTATTTTCCATGAACTTTTTAAAGACTTTATATATATACAGTGGTTAAGTATGTTTGTGCAAAACTGTATTAAGAGAATTCCTTATAGTCGAATGTTTTGGAATCTTTAAACGCTAGTATCATTGTGAATACACAAGACAGAGAGATACACTCCAAGTTTCCAGGTCTTGTTGACCACAGAACCCATTCACACACTCTAAGAAACTTCCTTCTTAAAAAAAAAAAAAAAAAAGAAAGAAATTTTAAAAAAAGATAAAAAGAGAGACCAGCAGATGGCATAATAGTTATGCCACTAGACTCCACATAGTCTACTGTGGTTGGAGTCCCAGATCTGGCAGCTTAAAACTCACACCAGGTGTGTGTGTGCGTGCATGCCCAAAATCCCGAGAGGAGAATGGAGGAGGAGGGATTGTAGGATGGCCATTCTCCCCCCAGGGAGGGAGGTGATTTCTCATTTTCTGTCTCTCTGTCTCCTCTGTCTCTCCAGCTAGTGCATGTGCCCTATAGCAAAAATCCTTCTCAAAAAAAAGAAAGAAAGAAAAGAAAAGAAAAAAAAAGAAAAGAAAGAAAGAAACTTCACTCTAGACTTTTTTTCTTTTCCCTAGGCTTAGCACTCATGCAGGAAACCAAGGTTTAGACATGGTGCCTGCCTTCAAACAAATCTTCATCCATAAAGAAAAGTGACTGGTACCAAGCCTGGACCAAAAAGCACTGGGGGGAATTTCATGGCAGTATAAAATTCACATTTTATGAAATAGGAAAGGACTAAGAAGTGGCTTTATGATCTCTGGTTAACAATCTAGAATTTTAGAAAGTTATCTAGCCTTCTCTGTGGACATTGTTCAATCCAAGACCTTCCAATTCTACCAAGTCGACTCATTGCCAAAGAGTATTGCCACTCTCTCAAGGATATTAAATTGCTTAGAACTTTATAAATAGGTGCCTCAAATTTACCAGCTTACTTGTTTAATGCCAGAGGAGATGAGAGAGAGAGAGAGAGAAAGAGAGAGAGAAGGCACTCAACAGGGCCTGCTCAAGCAGCACTCCCTTTTCCTCTCATCTCATCAGGATCCTGGGCAGTGCACACATGCCCAGTGTGTTGCCACCAGGGCTAGGATTCAAACTGTGGTCAGCCATGTGGGATCTGGCTTTCTCTACACAGCATTTAACCACTGCATCATGGGGCCGCCCATCAGCTTACCTTACCCACCTTACCTGTAGACTTGTTGGAAAGAAATCATTATTCTGTTCCATTTAAAGTGGTATGAATTGCAATGCAATTGCAATCTGATCAAATGCTTGGTTTTGATCTTTTCTTTGCTAAAAAGTGGTAGCAGAGTACTGAAGGACCAAGGCAACCAGTTCCATTACTTCCAATTAGTGGATAGAAAGGAGAGGAGATGCAGTAGGTACTTTACAATCTGGTTGTGGCCCAGCACAGGAAAAAAGCCATACTCCTGATGGATGTGTAGAAAAGAGATTGACATGGGTAGGATGGGGTAGTAGGGAAGGTCATGAAGGAGGCTGGAGTTCAGGTCACTATTTGGACAGGTAGAGAGAAAGAAGAGCATAGAAAGTGGGGGTTTAAGGGTGTTGTCACCCCCCCCCAGGGCATACTGCGTCCCACTCTTCCACTGTTCTACAATGTACACACATACCCTCATGCACAAGGACATATTGTCAATGTCTTGATCACTTAGCAACTTAGTTTCACCCTATTCGTCTTCCTTCATTGAACCTTGACAAATCATAACTTGTTGTTGTGAATACTTGGGCCTATGAAAGAGAAAGATTTAGTGCTGTACTGAAATCTCCTCTTAAATAAAAAAGAAAAACTGACTCGCTCCACCATATTTCTTCCTAGAAATAAAAACATTTATAAAGGTTTCCTTGACTACTGAGGGAAGGAAAATATGTTTATCATTCTGTTTAATCCCTGTGGACTGAATGATCACGCTACCGAGGAGGCCCCCAAACTTCCTGTCTCAGTTGATGTGATCCTCTGGAAGTAAAATTAGCCCTCCTGGCTGACTGTGCTCGTTGCTGCTCAAATGTGTACACTTCATCAGGGGCGTTATAAATAAGTGGAGTCTTGATTTAGGACACATCAGCTACCGTTGCTATTTCAGTGCTATCTTAGCAGTCTAAACTTTCACTGGAAGTAGCCGTTACGAGGGAGAAAATGCTAGCACAGGAGTGCAACTTACCAGTCCCGAAGCTCTCCTCCCCACAAAGGGACAGTTTGCTTGCATCCATCAAATTCCCAAAAAACTTCCAGCCAGTTGGGGTCTCATACAAAGCGATCTTTGTAGCATTAGCCACCCTTCAAAGGCATGAAATCAAAGTTACATCACAGCAGGACTGCTAGCAGAGCCATGTGAGAGATGGAAAAGAACAACCATTATTGTAATCAAGGGTCCCATTTAGCAATGCTCAGAGGTATCCATAATTCTCAGATTGGTGGAAAAGCATAAGAGAAAACTTGTGCACAATGAACTATTGTATGTGGATTCAGAGGAGGGGGAAGAAGAAGAAGAAAAAAGAAATAATTCAGATAATGGAATTTAATATTTTAGAAGCAGCAAGGCAGCAAAATGTGCAGTGTTGTCTTTTTTTTTTATTTTTTGAGAGAGAGATTTTCACTGTAGGGCGCGTGCGCTCGCCAGACAGACAGAGAGAGACATAGAGATAGAAAGCGAGAAATCACCCCCCAGGGGGTAAGGAGGGGGAAGAAGAAGAAGAAAAAAGAAATAATTCAGATAATGGAATTTAATATTTTAGAAGCAGCAAGGCAGCAAAATGTGCAGTGTTGTCTTTTAAGCTATTTAAAGCCATGTGTTTTGGATCTGGAGTGCATCTATACCCATTCTATTAAGAATTTTTAAATGATGGTTGATGCACTTATAATCGTAGAATAATAGGATACTGGGTCTGAGAGGTGGGCATTTTACGGAGAAGGAAACGGCCCAGAATGTTATGTGATCAGACTAAGGACACACTGCTAGATGACCAGTGGCCCAGTATTCAGTTACCCCATGTTCCCTTCATCTCATCAAAAGCCCTTGCAGGGAAAGTGCCCACAGGGGGTCTTCCATTTGCACCGGCTTCATCCACACTGATCAATGTCCCCCTTTTCTCTCCAGCTCATCTTTTACTTCTCCCCATAGATCTTTAGATGATTTAAAACCTTTGAATTACTTTTTTAAAAACTCCTTTCTTGGGACCAGCAGGTAGCGTGGTGGTTAAGGTGCTCCCATATGGTTGACTTTGCAATTTGAGTCTTGGATACTGTGGCTTGAAAAACACACACCAGGTGCATGTGCGTGTGTGTCCAAAATCCTGAGAGGACAATGGAGAAAGAATTGCAGCATGACCATCCCTCCTGAGGGATAATTTCTTTCTCTCTCTCTCTCTCTCTCTCTCTCTCTCCAGCAAGTGCATAAGCCCTATAGCACTACTAAAAAAAAAAAGAAAAAAAAAAATAATTGAATGTAAATTTTTAAACCTATTTGAGCTTTCTGTTTTAGACTTGGGACAAAAGAGTTTTATTGTATTTATGTTTACATGTGTGACCCAATTCTATTAAAAATGAAAATTGCTGGGACCAGTAGATGGCAAAATGGTTATGTCATTGGACTCTCACATAGTTGACCAAAGTTCAAGTCCCACACCCAGCAGCTTGAAACTCACACCGGGCACATGTGCATGTGTACCCAAAATCCCGAGAAGAGAACAGAGGAGAAGGGATCATGGCATAGCCATCATGATTTCTTGTTTGTTTGTTTTTTTCTCTCTGACAAGTGCACACACCCTATAGCAAAAATCTCTCTTAAAAAAATGAAAGAAAATGAAAATTACTTCAAATTGATCTTTCATCCAAACTGTGCACAGTACTAGAAGAAAAGGTTCCTCTAGAATAACATTTTAAGTGCAATGGAAGTGCACTTCCATTTGTTTATTCACATTCATTCATTCATTCATTTTATTCAAATGATGCGTGTGTATGTGTGTGTTTGTGTATGTGTGTTCTGCTATGTGGCAGGCATGCTCTGGTCAGGCAGACCATAGGATGGTGAATAAAGCAGTCCTTTCTCTGCAGAAGTGTACAGTCTCAAAAGATAGCCAACCCAGCAAACAGGTCACCGGATGCTATGGGATAAGTGCCAGAGTGGAGGAGGCGGAAAGTGCGAAGGCAACACAGAAGCGGGTATCTAATCCAGAAAACGCCTCACTCCTCCTTCATTCAAGGAACACTGAGCACAGAAGATGCCTCAGATGTCTACGCTGACAGGGGAGGAAAGGTGTGCCAGGCACAGAGGACGGAGGGCATGGTGAAGACCAGGATGATCTGAGACAGAAGACCAAGAGAACCGAGAGACCTACCGGTCCAAGGCACCACTTGTAGGCATGCTGCGTGCAAAGCCGCGGACCCCGGTTTGCTGGAAATACGGAATGCTGAAGATGTTGGCAGCAATGACAGCCACAGAGTCTGAAGGGTTTACGAAGAACCCATGCTTGCCCAGAATCATGTTTCGATCCTTTGGGAGAAGGATGATTCAAAGGAGGACTTTTTAATCAAACTGCTGAAGAAACCAAGCTATTGAATATGGGTGGTTTATAAAATTTAAAACTACAAAATTGAAAACGATACATTTACTCATACTGGACTTTCAAAACTGGATTTTCATGTTTATGGATTTGTATAGTACCATTGGGTCAAAGAGTTAAAACTGTTTTCAATTAAAGTGTAAGCACAAACTCCTTTTGAGCTGAATACTCTGTTCTCCCTCCAGGGGCCAGCTACCTTTAACCTCCTAGACCTTTCTCAAACTCTGGAACCAATCACCTCTCTCCCAGAGGAGAAGAGAGAATGCAATGAGAAAGGAAATGCTGGCTGTTTACACAGTTTGGTAGGTTTGCCAGGCATCCTTTGAGGAACAAAGGCAGACTTCTTTAGGGACAAGCTTCTAAATCATGGACCCTCCATTGGATATTGAGCCCCACAAAATACGTTGCCACTTGTACTGCTTTCTGGGTGCCTGGTACATAGTTACACTCAAGTAACTGAGAGTACGGACAGAAGAAAACCCCGGCATACTGCATCAGAAAGACGCATTGCAAAATAACATCTACCAGGAACCTCCTTTGGCTTCCCAACATTTATATAAGAAAAACCTTTTTTTAAGGAAATAATGGATTCTCTTTGGGGGAAAATAATAACAATGATGAAATATATTTTCAACTAGGTACACGTGTAGAGTACCTGCCATCTGCAAGATACCAAGGATACGAAACAGACTAAGACAGATCTCTCTCTTCTTTACATGCTACATAGTCCCCAGCATAAATAAAATAGCTTGTTTATTTTTAAAAAATTTAATTGTATTACATTAACAATAAAATGTTAATGCTCTCAATATAGTCTGGAGATAGGCTATAACATTATAGTTACCTCATTTAGCGAATGTGAATAAATGAATGGGTATATTATGAAACCAAAACCTTTTGCAGAGATTAAACTGGTAGCAAGGTGCTTACCGTGGGCAGAAACCTAACTGAAGACGGGTTATCTATTATAGAACTCAACCAGTTCATGAAAGACAAGTCATTGTATCATAACTGGAATTTTATCACCCTGCCACACATAGCGAATGTTACATAAATGTCTGAAACCAAGCTTATGGGTTATATTTCAATGACTCTTCTTTCTGTTCAAGAGGGTCTTCTCATAATTTATTTCTCATGCCAGATATACAGTGTGGGGTCGCTGATACTTACTCCTCAGCTCCTAGGGCTTGCTGGAAGCAGCCTACTTATTTCCGCCCCCTGTAAGATCAGGACTGGCCTGCATCAGAACCCACTTACATACCCTTGTACTTACCCCATCGCCATCAAAGGCAGCTCCGAAATCATGCTCTCCAGATTTCATGGTCTCCACCAGGTCAGCTGCGTAAGTGAGGTTGGGGTCAGGGTGGTGGCCTCCGAAGTCCTCCAGGGGAACACAGTTGACTGCTGAGTTTGCAGGGGCACCGAGTTCTTCACAGAGGATCTTCTTTACATATGGGCCCACAACTACAGAAAGTACAAGATAAAAGTATCAAGAATCAGAAACCAAAACTTCTTAAAGTATGTAAGGATTAGGGGGCAAGTGGGACACATTCTGGGGAGAAGAACAGCATGGGCAGAAATAAGAGTGTGTGCACTGTATTTAGGGGCTAGTGGAGCAAATAGGTCTGACTGACAAAGAGGTGCTATAACAAAAGAAGAATGAGAGAGTAGGTTGGAAAAGGAAGGGC